TTCCTGGGCAGGAGCAAAGGCCCATCCCAGAAAGACATGCCCTGTCCCTGTTGGCCTGATCTTTTAAGTCCTTGTCAGAAGGCTAGAGCCTCATTCCCACTGTCCCACCCAGAGCGCAGGGTGCGTGCACTTAGCACCCCCAGCTCCCAGCATTCTCACTGGCCACATCCCCATTCAGACGTCTTCACCACAGCCCTGTGGCCGGTTGCGGAGCACAGTGAGCTCTGGGTAGGACAGTACTAGCTGGCCACACCTAGGAAAACCACTCTAAGCCGCAGTCCTCAGTCTCTAACGGGATGACAGCATCTCTAGCAGTGTCTTGGGGTCCTTACTCTGTTTTGAAGAGATCTGATGAGGAAAGCACCCTGCACAGAGCCTGGCTCCCAGAAAATGCCTCTGATCCCTCGTGTTTCTGACCCTACCCAGCAAACTCTGCTGGCTCCACGTGCTCCTGAGTCTACCTGGAAAATTCCCCTGATCTCTTGTGCGCCTGACTCCACCCAGCAAGCTCCCCTGACCTCTGACTCCTGACCCTACTCAGAAAATTCCCCTGGACCTCTTGTGACTTCTGACCCTACCTGCAAACTCCCCTGGCCTCCGCATACCTGGCTCTACCCAGCACAGGAAGCTCCATGTCCTCATGTCCACTCTGCAGGCTCCTAGAATACCCTAACTACATCCTCTGGGCTGACTCTGACTGTGGTCTGCTCCACTCCTCCCATCCCATGGTTGCCAGTGGCCAGCGGACCCTCGGACACTCCCAGCACCCGGCCCTGCAGGTGGTCTTCAGAAGGGCCCTGACCAAGCCTTACCCAGCGTGACCTCCGCCTGCATGGGCATCGACAGTGCTGGGTGCTTGACCTCGCAGCTGAAGAGGGCCTCGTTGTCGATCTGCGGGTTGAGGGTCCAGGTGAGCAGGGCACGCACCTCCACGGTGCCGTCACTGCCTGGGGTGCGGCTGTGGCGCAGGAAGTAGACGGGCTCCGCGCTGTGGACCCAGCGGGGGAACTCGCGGCTCACGACCGTCTCTGGGATGTTCTCAGTGGTTGGCTGGAGGAGGACGCTGGGGTCCGGAGTCAGGCCGCGGGAGGGGTGCTCTGTGTAGGGACGCCCACCCCGGTTCTCAGCATCCAGGAGGGACAATGACTTCTGCATCTTGGTGTCGTCCTGGTCACGGTGCAGGAGGCTACGGAAGGGCCTGCTCTCTTGAAGGGGGCCTGAGCTCGACGGTGGCGGCTCGGACAGGGGCACTGCATCGATCAGCTCCCCATCTCGTTTGAAATAGACCTGAAATCGCAAGGAGGTGTGGGAGCAGACTTTGCATGGAAGACCTCGACTCCCAGGAAGCCAGTTCTTCTGGAACCTTCTCTAGTAGTCTTCTAGACAGACCTCCCCACCCGGCCTTGCCCCAGAACCGTGAGTCAGGAAAGCACAACGGGAACACTCGCGGGACTCACACTTACCAACCCGTGAGACTTTCTGAGCCTGCTTCCTCACTTGCAAGGGAGACTAAAACATCTACTTCCTAGGGCCGTTGGGTGCTCAAATGAAACACTGTGGGGAACTCGAGCCCGGATGCAGCCATGGCGGCCACCAGGGCTCCCAGAGGTTGGTCCATGCCCGCCTGGGGAGGGCATGAAGACGAGAGAGAATGGACGGGCGAGAGAGACACCATGCGCCATGAGAAGCAGAGGCGGGAAGAGAGGAACTGGGTCTATGCGTGCGGGTTGGAGACGGCAGGCACAAAACAGGTGTGTGTGTGGGAGGCAGCGAGGTGCGGGGCTGAGGCGAAAGCAGCGTCTTCTCACTTTCTCTGCTAATGGGGAATTCAAGTTTTGAGAGGCGGCATTTAATTTAATTTGCTGTCTTTTTATTTTGGTACATGCGCCCAGAGGCCTGTGGGGATTGGGTGTATTTTTTTAATAAATCAGTTAAATAAATCGATAGGAGAGAGGGAGCGAGGACGACAGGAAGCAGCTCTCAGGGATGCTGCGGGGGCGCGGAGGGAAGACGCGGGGAGGGGAGGCAGGAGGAGGGGGCTGCGGAGACCAGGGAGGTGGGAGAGGCTGGCGGGAGGGGGATGCTGTGCAGGATGTAGAGAGTCTGTCAGCATTTATAACTTCAACGGAGAATCTCTTATGCACATAATAGCCTGCTTCGGATTTTTCCCCCTTCCTTTTCTTTTTTTGGAAAAGTGCTTCAAAAGCAGGTTTATAATTTATATCAAAGAATTTCTTTCAAGTTCTGATGTCCCAGGCAAAGGTAAGATGCCTAGAATGTGGGGGAGATGGGGATCTTTTATCAAACAGAGAGAGAGAGAGCTGAATATCTTATTGTCATGTCCCAAACGGCAGGATGGGCAGGTGGGCTGGGGAAATGGGGTGTTCCTGAATCTCCAGGGCTGGGAGAAGCCTTTCTTTGTACCCGCCACAAAAAGAGGCTTTTTTATAGGAAAAGGTCAGTTTCCTTGATGATAGGGAGTCTGGACACTTTTATGGGCTCCTCTGAAACAAAAGTTGGGGGGCCAATTCGGCCCTCACAATTGGTGTCGACACCACCTTTGTCACCCGTGGCCCATCGCGTGACGAAGGCCTGCTTCTGTGCCTTTGGGGGCCCTGCCTGGGCTGTTGGTCCTGACCTCTGCACACACTCACTGCCCTGTCTCGAGCAGCTGGGCTATGTGGCCCCGGCTCCTGTAGGGCTGGCCTGACTGTCCCTGTGGGATAGGCACCTTGCAACCCTTAGCTTTAGCTCCACCCCTAGTCTGAGTAATGAATGGAACCCATGGGGTCACGACCCAAAGTATTATAAACCGCCAAAGCGGGCTGTCCTTGGGTGCACGGAGTCCGCGGCCCCTCAACAGGGGTTCATGGACCTTAAGGGTCTACTGAGGTGCTTCAGGGACCCGTGAGAGTGACTTGGGCTCTTTACTTTTAAGTGTTGTGTACATGGGGCTGCCGTGTATGTAATGTAGACCAAGAAGCTGCTGCTCCTCAAAGAGCTAAAAAACGTTGCTATTGTCCAACTCCCTCAACCCTTTTACAGAAACTGGGATGCAGAGGGGAGGAGGAACTTCCTGCCGAGGGTCATTCAGCGGGCATGGCAGAGCCAGGACTAGAACCCAGACCTCTGGGTGATCAGGTAACACCCTTGCAGCCTGCCCCATCCCCTTCGAGTGGTCATGAAAATACAATTACGTGTGAACTGGACGGACAGCCCTCAAAGGAGGCAGGCCCGGTGGCCTAAGGGGGGAATCTGGGCTCCCTTCCCTTCTGTCCTCTGCCCTCTCTTCCTCCTTCCCTCCCTCCCTCTCTTTCCATCTGTCCCTCCTCCTTCCCATCATTTCTTTCTCGAGAGCCATGTGGGTTTCTGGGAAGAGAGTGAACTTGAAACTTGAGGGCGTGAGCTTGGGTCCCGGCTCTGTCAAGAACACTGTGAGCAACTCTGGCCAAGTCCTGCCCCCTCTCTGGGTTCCTGGCCTTTGTCCTATCCTGCCCAGTAACTGGGGTGGGCATGCTGGACACTGGGCTCCCGTGAGGCCACTCCTGCTGTGCAGCGTTAGGATTCCAGGGCTGGGAGAAGTGGGGTTCTCAGCGGGGGGTGGGGGGTGCTGTGAGCAAGAGGGGCACATGATGCCTGGTGGCTCAGGCCAGGGTAGTGGCCATCAGTGCTACAGATCGCACTCTGTCCAGGGCCGCGGGGACACCTGCGACTGGACGAGCCCAGAAGCAGGAGGTGGGTGGGACTGGGTGATCTCGGTACTCACCATGGGCGCTGGCTTCCCTCCAGACACGATGCAGACCAGGGTGAAGTTCTGGGCTTGGTAGCGGCTGAAGGGGGCTGGAGTGTCTGTTGGGTAGCGGCTGAGGGGGGTGGGAGTGTCGGCGGCCACCACTTCGATGGAGGTGGGAGGAGCTGCCCAAAAGAGAAGCAGGGCAAGATGACATCTTTACAAGGCAGACTCGGGCAACGCGCACTGGTGACCTGGGCTGGACCGGGCCCCATGCTGGGTGCTGGGGTGAGGAGTGCCAGGAGGTGCCATCGACATCAACCACAGTGAGGACGACGGCCCTCGCTAGGAGTGCAGACAGGGCCCTGACCTCCTGGGCATACTGCCCCGTGGGGAGGACACTCTGGAACCTGGAGGGCGCACGGATAAGAGCGCTCAGAGCATCCAACAGCAGGAGGGGTCAGGCGCAGAGGCGCCTTGCCTGAGCCGGTGCTCTGGGGGATGGCCTGAGGAAGCCACACTTGCACTGTGCCCTGAAGAAGCGACAGCAGGTAGAGGACCGCATGGCGGGTGGCGGCCCGCGGGGGGGGGGGCGGGAGCCACACCTGCAAAGGCCCAGACACAGATGGTCCAGAGTGACGGGTCAGGCTGAGGGAGGGCGGTGCCGGGCTGCGTGGATGGGCAGGGTGCAGAGTGTGAGAGCTGACAGGGCAAGAGTGAGCTCACAGGGGTGAGCCGGAGCTGAGGGGAGCCCCCTGGGACGTTTTCAGGAACTCTGTGTGACAAGCTGCTAAGCTGTTACTAAACTGAAACAGGTCACAGGTGGGTATCTTTCCACCAGGAAAATTGGCAAGTGCTACAAATCAGGGTTTGTTTTTTTCCCTTCCTTTATCCTGACCCAATCTCCTGGAGAACTGGTTTACCATTATACCGCAGTTAATGAATTTTTCCTCTTTATCCCGAGAGCAGTGGTGAGCCGTTGAAGGGTTTAGGTAAGAGCAGCAGCATGACCTGACTTGCCTTTTTTTTTTTTTTTTTTTTTTTTTTTTTTTTGGGTGTTTAAAAGAGGTTTTTTGCTATAGAGTGTTGTGCACATGGGCTTACCAGAAAGAGAGAGACAGAGAAAAAGCGAGAAATCACCCCCCGGGGGGGATGGCTACGCTGCAATCCCTTCTCCTCCATTCTCCTCTCGGGATCTTGGGCACGCACGCACACGCGCTTGGTGTGAGTTTAAGCCACTGGGTCCGGGACTTGAATCGCAGTTGGCTACGTGGAAGTCCAGCGACATAGCCAGGGAGACTGAAGCAGAATGAATTTAGGCTAGAGAGGGTGAGAGCTTAGGCTCAGATGGAGGCCACAGAGAGTAAGAACTAGATGGCTCTGAGAGCCATAGAGAGGCAGATACCTTTCCTCCTTAACTTCCCCGAAGTGGGCTTATTTTACTTGGCTGCCCCTGCCCCAGCCCACCACCCTGACTGGTTTGCCAAAGCCCGTGCTCCAGGCAGTTGGGGTCCTGGAAAGGGCATGCCCTGAGCCCTCAGATACATGTGGGCTCTGCTGGGTCACACCTATCTTTACGTCCTTGGGCAAGTCAGCAATACTGAGCCTCAGTTCTTCCATTCATTCTATGGGAATAATACTAGGTAGACACATCTGCAGGATGAAACCAGCTGTCAAGGGCTTAGCATAGCCTGTTACTAAGATTCCCAGGGCCAGCGAGCGGCACGGTGGTTAAGGTGCTGGATCCCACATGGCTGACTCCGAGGTACAAGTCCTGGACTCTGCAGCTTGAAACACACACTGGACACGTGTGCACGCATGTCCAAATTCCTGAGAGGAGAATGGAAGAGAAGGGATTGCGGTGTGGCCATCCCCTCTGGGGGTGGATTTCTCACTTTCACTCAATCTCTGTCTCTGTCCGACAGTACATACATTCTGTGTCAAAAATCTTAAAAAATGAAAGGATTTCCACTATTCTTGCCCTGACTTCCTCGTAACCAGCAGGATAGGAGACGGGGTCAGAACTCTGCTTGGGAAGGGTTGTCAGGTCTGGCTTACGGGGCTGTGGGCTGCACATAGGGGGCAAACAGAAAATCAAGAGGCAGGGGCTCTTTCTTCCTGTAGGGGGTTTTCACTCCAGTTAAGCTTAATTAAATTCACCAAACATTTCCGGACACCTACTAGGTGCCGGGCGTGGTGCCAGGCGCTCACGGCAGGCTCCAGCGATAAAACAGAGCCAGCGTGGAGAAGCACACGGTCTGCTGGGGGCGACAGACGCATGGGCAACTCTATCTTAAGTTCTGGTGAGATGGAGCCAGGTAGGAGCCACTCATTCAGGCAGACGCCACATGCTGTCGGCAAGAGAAGCAGAACACACAGAAAACAAGGGGAGAACAATAGAAGGAGAATTGTAATTAAGTGTAAGATGGCGTGAAACAGATGGTAAGTGGGGTAGGCATTCCGAGAAGGGGGAAACGTACCAGAGCGCTTCAATTACCTCGAAGTTGCAGATTCTGCAATCTAACTTTTCCAGAATGCCACCGAAAACTTGGATCCCCTGGCAGGAGCCAACTTGGGTTAACACAGGAATCAGGAGTTGGGCCTGCTCTGTGGCCTACTGGCTGGGGTAACCGGATCCCATGAGGCCGAGCATGCAGTTCAAAGGCTGGACCTGACTGCGTGAGAAACACGCCGACAGCATGTGTGTGGTTGTGTGCCCAGAACCTCAAAAGGAGGGAGAGATGCAGAAGGACTGCGGTGTGACCATTTCCCATAGGGAGTGTTTTCTCACTTTCTCTCTGACGGTGCATGTGCCCTCTAAGGGGGGCGGGGGGAGAATCCGAAGCCATTCTAACTCTAATTTAAAAAAAAAAAGAACTATTTATTCAGTTTTATTTCTTCTTATTATTTTTTTAAATTTTCTATATGTGTTCACCAGAGGCGGAGAGGAGTGAGAAAGCAAGTCCCCAGGTCTGAGACTTGAACTGCAGTTGGCCATGTGGGAGCCCAGTGCCTTAACTGCCATGCCCCCTTGAGCCCTGCTATTGTAAACTCTTAACATGTTAATTCCTTTACTCCTCACCACCAGGCGATGAGGTGGGTGTACTTACTCCCATTTTACAGATTTGGACTTAAGGAAGAAGTGATGGGCCCAGGCTCACTGAGCTGGTATGAGGTACGGCGAGAATTCAAACCCAGCCAGTCTGGCTCCAGAGTCTGGACTCTGGCACGAAGCTGTGCCAGCTCAGCTTTCAGAAGAAGAGAGGCACTCAGACCCGTTGACCTCTGGCCCTGAGTGCACATCTTAGCCTGTGGCACGTTGCAACTTGCACGGATGCCTTATAACCCAGTTTCCTCAGGAACTGCTGCTGTGGGTAGCTCTGGGCAACCCAACTGGGTTACCCCAAAGAGCACGCCATTAGGGCTTGGCATACAAGGAGTGTAGGTATGAATGTACCTCCCAAGAATTCGAAGGGCTCAGAACACTGCAGGACACCCTCAAAATCACCACGCATTCTTTTTTTTTACCTTCCCTGAGCAAGTGGAGATCAGACACCTAGAGCCTTCCTTCGAGAATTGCTCTGAGGAGTAAGTGAGGTGATGCTTACCAGGTGAAGAGATGTAGGTTAGCTTTTTTTTTTTTTAAGGGTTTTTTTTTTTTTTTTTGCCATACGATGCATGCACTCACCAGAGTGAGAGAGACAGTGATGGGGAAAGTGAGAAATTACTCCCCCAGGGGAATGGCCACACCACAATCCGTTCTCCATTCTCCTCTCGGGAGTTCAGGCATGCACACACATGTGCTCAGTACGATTTTCAAGCCGCCAGATCTGGGACTCGAACTGTGGTCAACCATGTGAGAATCTAGTGCTTTAATCACCACACCACCCACAGGTTCCAGGTTAGCAATTTTAAAATAATTTTTTAAAGTTCACTTATTTATTCTTTGAGCAAAAAAGACTAACAGAGAGAGACAGAAACAGTCCCTCTTACAGGGTCTCAACTCCACAGTCCATTCCCAGCTTCAGCCAGTCCTGGGTCCTGGGTCATAGACACGCTTGCACCCAGTGTACTCAGGGAGGTCTCCGGATGTGAACCCAGAACCTTCGCATGTGGGTCAGCCTTGCAGCGTATCAAGTTGTAGCACGAGCTGCTCTTTGCAGCAGTATTACGAGGGAGCAGTGCGTGAGCTCCACATGACCACCCAGAGCTCACAGACCAGCTGCTCCTCTCACCAGACTCGTGACCCCGGCCAAGTCCCTTAACCTCTCTGAGCTTCGGCTTCCTTATCTACAGAATGGCATTCCAGGGTACTTGTGAAGATTCAGTGAAGTAGTACAGGCAAATATTTTGAAGTGGCTTCTAATATTTATCAGCTGCACTTGGCAGAATGATTTACTAACTTTGTTTCAGGCTCGTTGCTGAGGACTGGGAGAGTAGAACATGGTCTCTGCTCCGGGGCATTCATGCTTTAGTGAAGGACCTGAAAATGTCCCCGACCTGTGCCATCCAATACAGTAGTTCTTAAGTGTTGTAAGTGTAAAACCCACACCCAGTTTGGAAGATTTTTAAAAAATGTTATTTATTATTATTATTAAATATGCTATAGGGCATGTGCGCTCACCGGAGGGAGAGAGAGAGGGAAAGTGAGAAAGCAGGCTGCCAGGTCCGAGACCCTAACCATCAGCGTGCAGCCCCTTAACCAAGGCACTTGCTGGCCCCAAAGACTTGGGTTTTCTTTTTTAAAGAGTGTAATATACCCTATTTATATTTTTATATTGGTTATATGCTGGCATAATATTGCAGGTGTATTTGTTTAATATATGTGCGACTAAAAGTGATTTTTGTCTCTTTTAACTCCCCTTAAAGTGGCTATTAGGGAACGCACACGCATAGTCTGGGCTACTGGAGAGCTCTGGCCTAGATGTTCCATTTCACAGGAAGGCAAACCGAGGTCAGAGAGAGGCATGGGTCTGCCATGGTCACGCCAGAAGGCAGTGGTAGAGCCTGGACTGGTGCCCAGCTTTCTAAATCCTGGCCAGGGCTGTCTGCACAGTACCGTGCCCTCCCATCCCTCCACGCACACGCACGCACACGCACACGCCCCTCCACTCTGGAGATCTGCACCCGAGTCACGCATCCCACCCACACAGACCCTGATTGGGAGCCGTGTTCCCATCCCTCG